CAGGTGAGATATATTTAAATCTAATATTTTCATAGTATGGTGCTCTTGGATCACTTGCAATTACTCCATACATATATTTAACAAATGCCCATTTAGGTTCATCTGGGTGATATCCACAAACTATCAAATCATCATATCGTATATAGCGGGATCTACACCTTTTCTTTTTATATATACATTCACCTTTATCACCAACAAAAATATTTTCAAGTATATTAGTTTTACCTGTACTACTCTTACCACTAACTACCTTACTGAAGGGCCATGATATTGCTGGATGTCCAACATTTTGAATTGATTTATGTTTATTAGCTTCATCTATATCCATAAGATAAAGTTTCATAGGTGGTAGAGTAAAACTCATTTTCTTTGAAAATAAGCTCGATGAGCCATGATTCTTGATTCGCTCTTCGGGCTTGTTCTGCAATAGTTCTTTCTTTTGATTTTTTTGTATATCAGATGAGTTAGGAACTCAAAGCACTGCTTCCTGGGAATCCATAACTACAATTTCTATAAACTGAATAAAAAATTTCATCCCCCGATAATTCACTTCACTTTGTTCGTTCATGGTCAGTTTAGGCACATTAGTGCTCTCACTCTGTGAGTATATTCCAGAAAACAAATTGTCAGAGCTGGTCATACGGTGGCTATAATCTGGCTTCGAGTTCAAAGAACGAGAAGGCGGGAGTGGGTGAAAAATATTCCTATATATATATACCAAATAATTAATATCACTATTATTACAATAATGACAATTTTAATAAAAGGAGGAATCTGATACTTATCATTAACTAAAGCCTCGCTAGCGCATACTGTCTCTTTTATTGTAATATCTTGAATCAATGACTCCGGATTCTGCTTATTTGTAATATCTTGAATCAATGACTCCAAATTCTGATTATTTGTGATAATTGGTAATATTTTACTTTTAAAATATTTTGCAAGACTTTTATGACTTGAAAAGTCGCCCTTAAAGGGCCTGCAAAGCAATGATCCTTCGGGTCTAGATTCAGATGTATCTCTAGAATTCGATATGAAACTTTGTTCCTCGCTTTGTATATTTTTTTCCTCACCTCCCATAACTATTGCAGAGCAATGAGTCTTCGACTCTACAGAATCTAATATATCCTTTGTTTTCTGTGAAACAAAGCACAAAGTGCTTAAACACTCAATCTCATTAATTTTTGAGGCTAATTCATTCTTTGTATTCACTAATTCATTCTTTGTATTTGTTAATTCAGACTTGAGAGATATAATCTTGAATTCTTTTTTTAGTATCTCTTCCTGAGTTGAGAATGCATTTTTTTGAGCCGATTCTAACTTACCTTCTAATATTTTTTTCATAGACCATAGTGCTGTAATTTCCTTTAATTCATTCTGAGTTGAAGATAGTTTCGTTTCTAATATTTTTATCTTAGACTGAAGATCTTTTATCTTAATTTTAGATTCATTAAGAGAAATATCTTTGTGGGTAATTTGAGATATTAGACTATCTAACTTTGAGCTCAATCGCTTAACCTCATTTATAAGCTGGTAGGTATGCTTGAAGAGTTTCTTTTTATCATTATTAGATTGTTTTAGATCATGTTGTATATGCTTATTGTCTTTATCTAAGACAGAACATTTATTGGCAAGTCGATTGCCATACTCTATAGCAATTTCTCGATCTCGATTAGCACAAGCAAGTTGGTTTTCAAGTTCTGTTCGACTAGGCGGATATCGGTTTGATGGTATGTCTTCAAGTTTTTTGCATTCATCTATATCTGATAATGTATGGATTCGAAGCATATTATCCAATTCTTATAGATATCTAAAAAA